CCAGAGCTGCTGCTCCAGACCACGCCCCTTGGAAGACCTCAAACTGTGACAATAAAGTCGAGGGCTCCCAGTTCTCCCCAGCATGGGCAGGGAGGGGAGAAAATTAGTTCCCAGAATGCTTGGAAAGGCCTAGAGGCCCGAGTTACCGCTCAAGGCCCTATGACGAGCACACAGGCAGCCCCACAGCACAGGGTGCTGGCCAGCTCTCCCAACAGCAGGACAACGTCAGAAGCACCCAGTGTCCCCAGGGAAGGGCAGTCCATGCTCCCACAGAGCCTGCTCCTCACAGGCCAGTGCCAGGGGCAGCAGCGGTGCCACAGTGACCACAGAGCAGAGGGAATCTCAGCCCTGAAGTGATGTCCTCCGGCTTCACATGCACACGGTGCCTCCCGGATGCCGCACGGGCCAGACTGTGGACACCGGCTAGTGGACGGAGACGTCGCCACCATCTGCCCTCACAGCGCCAGCACAGAGGGGGTGGCAACACCTGCAAGCGCCAAGTCTGGCCCTAACCATGGGGGTGGGGACGGTGGTGAGGATGGAGGGCCAAGGACAGAGAAGGAACCACCAGGGAAACTTGGGAGAAAGAGCACACAGGTGCAAGGGCCCCAGGGGAGAGGCAAGGGCCCCAGGGGAGAGGCAAGGGCCCCAGGGGAGAGGCAAGGTGATGTGACACATGGTGGGAGAAGGGACTGACTGGGGGCAGAAGGGTCAGGATGTGGTGACAGGGCAGACATGGGGACCAGGGCACATGGACCACCAACCCTGCAGTCTGACATGAGGGACAGGGCAGGAGACAGGATCAGAAGAGGAAATGTCTGAAATTCCTGGGGGTGTTGAGGAAAAGAGGACAAGGGTGGCTGAGGTTCCGGCCCAGGGGCAGCTATGATGCTCACACACCAGCCTCGGGATGCAAAATCCCTGAGTCAGATATCAGCTCTGCACCTGGGTGTAGATAACACTGCGGTGACAACTGTCCCTGCTCCTGGGTTGTCACAGATAAGTGGAAAGGGCTTAGTAGGAGCAGTGTTCTCCTGGACTGTGTCACCATTTCTGTGAGGAGTGATCATGACTGGTTAACCAGGGAGCAGGGGCACCAGGAGGCAGGACCCGGTCTAAGCCTTGTCCTGATTGGAGCAGGTCAGGTTTCTTCCTGGGAAGGAAATTCCCTCCCTCCTGCTCGGGTGTGGGGCTCAGCGGTGGCCCCTCTCCTGGGTGGCAGGCGCAGCTGTCATCACCCACCACACTGCACCTTGAGGCCCAAGTGCCCATCTCATGGGGACAATTTTTACAAAATGCTATTAAATAAATAAAGCCAAAGAAAGAGCAGATGAACAGGGAAGTCCAGCCGTTCCACCCTTAAGGAGCTCACAGGACTAGCAGCTTGAGCTCAGAGGCCAAGAACACCTGGGTTCGAATTCCAGCCTCACTCCCTGCAGCACCATTGGCCTCGGGGGCACACGGAACTGCTAGCCTTTCGTGGGGCCCATCCTCTGCTCTGTGGGATGGGGAACAGCTTCCCTGACCTCTTCCCACTAGAATGCCAACCCCAACCCCTCAGTTGTGACAACCAAAAATGTCCTCTGGCACTGTCAATGTCCCCAGTGTGGGGGGCAATCACCCCTAGCTGAGAACCACTGGGCTAGATGCTTAAACGTTACGTACCTCAGTTTCCCCATTCTTACGTATTTATTCTTGAGACAGAGTCTCACGTCATCACCCTGGGTAGAGTGCTGTAGCATCACAGCTCACAGTAACCTCAAATTCTTGGGCTCAAGCAATCCTCTTGCCTCAGCTGCCCAGGTAGCCAGGACTACAGGTAACCACTGCAACGTCTGGCTAGTTTTTTAGAGACAGGGTCTCTCTTGCTTAGGCTGGTCTTGAACTCCTGAGCTCAGCTGACCCCCCTGACTTGGCCTCCCAGAGGACTGGGATTGTAGGGGTAAGCCACTGTGCCCAGCCTTGTTTCTCCATTTGTAAAGCAAGACCATAGGGCCACCCTGAGAGTTAAATGAGAAAATACAGGTGGAGTCTGGGGCAGTGACCAGCACAATGAGACACTCAACAAATATTAGTTACGAGTGGCTGCTGTCCTCAGGGTCGGAGACATGCAAACAGGTGAGTCGCACCTGATGTGAGAACAGGTCAACAGAACCATAATTATCAATACTAAGAGGCACCCAGGAAGCCATAGACCCACCAAGGAGGTCAGCAGACCTTCCGGAATCTTCCCAGAGCAGGGCATTTGGCAGACGGACAGGGAGAAGACGTGTCTCCGACAGCAGCAGGACAGGTGTTGAGGGGAGAGCTGGGCAGTGTCTGGACCAACAGGAGCCGTGACCCTGTCCTTAAGGCGTTTCACAACAAAACAGAACTGCAATGTTTACAAAAGGAAAGATGGAGGGGCCGGGAACAGGAAAACCAGCCTGTGTTCGCCACTCACAGTAATTCAGGAACATCCGCAGAGCTGAGAAGTCGGGAGGGTGCCGACACGTGTAAAATGCCAGCCCCCGCAGTCTGCTGACCCCAGACACAGACCTGGGACCGCTGGAGGGGTGGCCGCCCTCTGCTGCCTGCAGAGACCCGGGGATCCACATACCCTGGAGCCTGCACAGCTCTGGGGGCAGAGTGGATTCCAGAGACACGGGAGAGCTGTCTGTGCTTCTCCAGCATCAGATTCGCCAAGCTTTTCCTGGACTTAATTGCCACCTTCCTTTGCCCAGCTCCTGCCGGGTCTCCTGCCGGCTCCTGCCCCGCAACACAGGAAGCCGGGAGCTTCCAGCAGCCACCTGGGCCGGTTCCAACTCACGACTGGAGCTTGGCTTTCCAGGGAGCAAGTAATACAACCCTCCTGACGACAGCACTACTTTCATCGTGAATAAATGAGCCCAATTACCTCCTCGCAGGAAAAGGAGAGCTTCAAAGAGAAAAAAGGAAAACAGAGAGGAAGAGGGACCCAGCAAAAATAATCAGGCTTCATTAGTCTTATCTCTGAGGGAAATACACATGATAATTCTAGTGCCCAAAGAGATTCAAATTAGTCTCATGCCAGTCATTACATTTCAGCAGGTCTTATTGGCAATGACAGACGTGGCCCTTGCCCAGCCGTTATTTTTCTAAAAATGATTCTCCTGATGAAAAGGAAACTTGAGAACTTTAGAAATGGCTTCCACTCAGTGGGCCGTCATTTTAGGGTCTGCCCGTCCAGGGATCGCCCATGTGGCCCTAAAGCTGACTGTCCTCTGGATTTCCCAGCAGGCCTGCTGCAAGCGGCCCACCTGCCTGGCAAAGCCACCCGATGGGGGTCCTTGAGAGGTCCCTTCACCCAGTGAGAGGGACAACTGCACAGATTAACTGGGTCGCCCACCAGAATGGGCAGGGGTCTGGCTGTGCACACTGGCCCGGTATACAGCAGGTGCTCAGTCAGTGTTTGTGGGGTGGATGAAGAGGATACACTTGCTGGTTCCCTGAAGCACACAGGCTCTTTCCCAGGGGCCGACAGCCACGGCAAGAGAGGAAGCCAAAGCAGTCCCTGGCCACGTGGCTGGCGGGGGCACTGCCAGCTCACCTGTGGGGGGCACAGATGGCGCTGGCAGCTGGCATACCCTATCCTATCACACACTCCTGAGAGGTGGCACTCCCAGTCCAGAGTTGGGAGGAGGAGACCTTGGGAAGTTCCCAGGGACCTGGGAGCCACCAAAGCTCAAGGGCAGGAGAGAAGCCGGGCCAGGCCCCCTGCTAGCTACAGTCTTCAAATTAGGTGTGACTGTCAGGGGTGGAGGGGAGTCTCCTATGCCCCTGCCCGCCTTCCTCATGCACTGCCAAGCCCCAGTGTAGACGGGAATTTTCACTCAGCTAGACAGTGGGAAAAGCTCTGGACCCACAAGAGGAGTGCAAATGCCACAGAGAGTCAGTTATAACACCATCCTCCCGCCCCACCATTACCAGGTTATAACCAACCTAGGGTGCAGACGCCTCAATTCTTCCCCCCCCCCCCGGCTCCTCCTCTTCTGGTGCAGAGTCCCTTGGACAGATGGCTTCCTCTCTCTTTGTGCTCCCCTGAGCGCTTCCTGCTGGGTAAATGCTGCTAATACCTCAAATCCTAAGCTCGGTGGACCTGCACTGTGTGCTGTGTGAAGCCCCCAAAGCGCCCCCCCCCCCGCCTTCCACAGCCAGCGATCCCACAGGTGTGTGTATTAAACACACCAGGACAGTCCTTGGAAGGATCTTGAAGTTACCTCCGGTTTGGATCAAATCCCCCCCTAATCCCCAGATAGCTTTCCAAAAAAGACAGAGTGTTCACCGTCGGGACCATAATAAACTTGCTTTTCAAATGAACCATCATTTTATGTCATAGGCAATCAAAGACCAAAGTGAGATTTGCGGTCGAGATGCAGAGTGCTGTGTTTTTGTAATACTCCTGAGCTGGCTCCTTTCATATTTTTGAAAACAACTGTTGGCTGCCTTCGGAGCAGTTTATCTTTGTGATTAGTCAGGACCTCTCCAGGTGTGTGTGTCTTCCAAGGGGGGAAGGTGAGTCATTTTCTACACTTGCAACAAGGCCTAAAAAAATGAACAGCATCTTTCAAGGCCCAGATGCTGAACGGCTCACAACTTTCACCCTGGTTCTGTTGTTTCACACAAACCAATTAAACCTGAGATCTAGAGCAAAGCACTTTAGCTCTAGACCCACTTAAGAGAAGCATATCATTTTGTGTATTGAGGTTTCTCACACGGATCTCACCCGGTCACCCTGCCCTCATTCTTGTTAGGAAGGGAATTGAGTCAGGCGGATGTATGACACGCATGCCTGCCGGCTAAGGAGATGCCGCTTCCGACATCATCTCAAGGTCAGGGAGCAACACTTGGGCCTAGCGCCGGTACCTGGACCATTTCCCCAGGAGGGCAGTGGACAGAGGGAGTCTCTGGAACCCTCTGCCGTGTGACCTAGTGGTGTCTGTTCAAAGCCCAAGAGAGCCATCCCCCAGGCTGTGACCTACCTGTGAAGTCCTCGAAGCACTCGCAGGTGTAGCCCCCCTCGCGGCTGCGGCAGCGGCCATTGGCACCGCAGGGGCTGGAGTAGCAGAGATCAATCTCCGTCTCGCAGTAGTCGCCAGTGAAGCCGGGCGGGCAGCGGCATCGTAGCCCATTGATGGGGTGGATGGGCCGGAAGAGCACGGTGGTGGAGCTGAGGAAGGGCGCCGAGCTGTCGAAGCGCAGCACCGACACGCACTTCATGTAGTTCTCACACGGCTCCCGCAGGCAGATGTTGTCGTCGAAGGGCAGCACGCGCTGCGTGGAGATGGTGGTCAGCAGCGTGCGGTTCAGGTAGATCTGCTCCTGCAGGTCCTCCGATGGGAAGAACTGGCCGCGCACGCCGCCAGGCAGCAGCGCCGAGAAGGTCACGTTCAGGATGTTGGTGCTGACGTCCGTGTCATTCTGGATATTGAAGACGAAGACATCGTCCTTGGTGGTGGACAGCACCGTGGCCACTCCCTCCACGAAGAGGGCCAGCAGTGGGGACAGGAACTTCTCCTGCGACATGTTCTCCAGGCGGACGGTGATGCTGTTGGTGAGCATGTCGTCTGTGATGATGGTGACACGCAGGGTGCAGAGTGCCGTGACGCTGTGGACGCCGTCTGCAGGACACAAGGAGAGTGGTGGTCACTCAGATGCTGTGGGAGACTCTGCTCCCACCAGCCACACCCCAGGAGCAGCCTGGGACCCACACAGTGGAGGAGAATTGCGCCTGGGCACCCTCCCCACGTCCAGTGCGCTCCTTCCCTCACTGACACACAGGTGCCCGTCCAGAGGGGGGCTTTGTCCCCGTCCCCTGGAGCAGGTGCTGGGCCTCACACTTTCCCACAAGGTGCCACAGAAGAGACGTTCTGGACTTCGCAGTCCAGAACCCAAGAGGACGGGGGGTGGGGGTCTGCCTCCTCCTTCCTGCTGCCAGACGCCATGCTAGAGGCCCGGGGACAGCTAACCCAGGCCCCAGACACGGCCAGCCGTGCAGTTGAGGTGTGAGCCCCCTCCCACCAGAAGGGCAGACATCATGGGGCAGAGACCAGCCACCTCTGGGCCTCACCATGAGCAAATGACAGGGTCAGAGCTGGAAGGCTTAGGGATGGTGTGTTACACAGCACCGGACAACCAGAACAGACACAGTCGACACACAGAATCAATCGCCATAAACTTACCACAAAACACTGCCACTTGGCCAGGTGTGGTGGCGCACGCCTAGAATCCCAACACTGTGGGAGGCTGAGGTGGGTGCATTGCCTGAGCTCAGGAGTTCAAGACCAACCTGAGCAAGAGCGAGATCCCATCTCAAAAAAAAAAAAAAAAAAATAGCCGGGCATTGTGGTGGACACCTGTAGTCCCAGCTACTCAGGAGGCCGAGGCAAGAGGATTGTTTGAGCCTAAGAGTTTGAGGCTGCTATGAGCTATGACACCAGGCACTCTATCAAAGTGGCAGAGTGAAACTTTGTCTAAAAAACAAAAACAATTTGAACTTCATTGCCCATCATATAAAATATTAAGGTACCTCTAGGAACTGAGTTGTGCTCCTCTAAATCCCCGTGGGAGCCCTAAGCTCCATGTGATGGTGTAGAGGTGGGGCCTCTGGGGTAACGGGGGTTAGGTGAGGTCACGGCGGTGGCCCTGACAGGATTAGTCCCTGTGGATGATGGGTCTCTCTGTCCTGTACCATGCAGGGACACAGCCAGGTGCTGTCTGCAAGCCCAGGAGAGAGGCCTCCCCAGCCCCCGCCCCACCAGCACCTCGGATTTCCAGCCTCCGGGTCTATATGGAAAGAAACATCTGCCGTTCAGGCCCCCAGCCTGTGCCACGCAGACTCAGATATAGTAACGTCATTCAACTGGAATAAGTTTACATGCTAAACAACTTGCTAAATAATGTTAAAATAAGTTAACACGTTTGCATTATACAATATTCATAAATAACTTTTACTTGCCGTAGTCCCTGTTTATTATATATTTCTTTTTCAAAAATAAACTTAAACATTCCAGGACCCTAAGCTTAAGCAGCCACCCTTCCGGAAGTCTGAGCACACACCTGTGCACACACACCTGTGAACACACACACACCCCGAGAATGTAGAAACCCAACTGGGAGACAGATAAACAGCTACAGGACACACATGGAGTGCGTCTAAAATGCGTGCGAAACATTCAGTGAAGGGAAAGTGACATGCCCCTTGTGGTCCCATCAGTATGGGGGACACGTTACTCACTCACAGAAGTGTCGTAAGTGCATAGGGAATTCTGGAAGCACACGGTGAACCCCACGGCACTGGCTGATTCTAGGAAGGAGATAAGGATGGGGGTGGCCGAGACACAACCAGCATTTTACTTTACTGCTTGCTTTGTGTCACTCAGATTTCTCACAATGAACGTGGAGCGCTTGGGTCTCTAAGACTGCAAAAAATAGCCTGATCTGCTCCGTAATGAGGAAAGGATAACATGACGGCACCCATGTCCACAGAGGGGAAGCACAGCCCCAGTGGCCTCTGACTATGGACAGTCCATATCACTCTGCCTTAAAAAGCAAGGGAGCTCTGACTCCCGCCACCACACAGACCCTGAAAACATGCCCAGTGGATAAGACGGTCATAGAAGGTTGGACACCACACGGTTCCGCTTGTACGCAATCCTTAGAGAAGTCGGATTCTCCAGGAGGGAAAGTAGAATTGTGGGTGCCGGGCGTGGGGAGGGGTGTCAGTGATTAATGAGGACAGAGTTGCAGTCTGGGAAGACGGAACCCTTCTGGAGGTGGGCGGTGGTGACAGCTTCACAGCACTGGAAATGCGCTTAATGCGCCTGAATGATAAATTTAAAAATGGCAAAGATGGTAAGTTATATGTTTTGTATATTCCACCAGCATAAAAAATTTTAACAAGAGGAAAGATAGCCTGCCTCTGACCCACGGGCAGCACTCAGCCGCATGCCGGGTGCCCTTGAGATAGGCCAGCCTCAGTTTCCCATTACCACAAGCAGCCGCCACAGTCTCCTAAAACATTGATCTAATCTCCCCACTCCCTTGCGGCCCCCAGCGGCACCCAGAATGAAGCCCTCCATCTAGGGTTACATATCCATCCTGCCGTCCTGGGGTCCCTCTCGCCGCCTGAGGGCCTCTGCACATCCTGTCTTCTGTCAGGACTACTACCCTCCTTGATAGCCAGGGGCAGCTCCCTTGGCCATCTGGGACTGAGCTGAATGTCCCTAATCACAGGGATGTTCCATACCAAGCACCCCTCGGCCCTGCCTGTCATATCCCCGCTGTAAGCCCTGCACAACCAGCTCTGATGTGACTCTTCTCTGTTTAATTGTTTCTCCCACCGTGAGTCCCTGAGGACCCAGAACCTGTAGGTCCTGTTCCCACTACACCTGTCACATCTAGAACAGCTCCTGGCATCAGAAGCTGTTGGACAAACATTTGTAGGCGGGAGGGAGGAGGAGACAGGGAGGGTGGGGAGGAGGGGTGGGCGGGAAGAATGTTGGTTTCCAGGGCCGCTCTTTAACTCCAGAATCAACACTGGCTCCAGGAGAACAGTACCCACTTTTCCATGTAAGCTGTTTTTTGTGGCTGTTTGATTTTTTTCTTTTAGTACAGGCCCATTACAATAATACAGGTAGCACACTGTCTGCTTCCCTATGGCCGTTGTTATGAAACATCCTTTATCTTAAACCACACATGGATCTGTTTGTTCTGGCCCAGGAGGCAAAGGCCATATTGATTTTGAAGCTAAAAGCCCAACCTTCTCGGGGTGCTCCAGGCTGTCCTGTCTGTGCCCCCAGGGGTGGGACGGGGCCCCAGCACTCAGGCCCTCCCGAGGGCAGCCAGGGAAGGTGCTCTGGGCATTTCTCCCGGCAGCAGTGGCCTAGAAGCCAGCTCTGAGCACCGGGAAAGCACAAGTGCAATTCCACTGCTGTCCTTGGGAGAGAAGTGTCACCTCCTGCCCCTGAGACGGAGTAGGAAGGAGACAGAGCAGACGGGGCACAGGTGTGGGGGGTGCCGCCCAGGTGCTCTGCACAACCCAGACACGGCCCTGAGGGGCAGAAGGAGGGTGTGGGGCCCCTCCCCCCTTAGCAGGACCACTTAATAAAGTGCCTCAAGCTGGACTGTGTGGCTCACTGCAGCAGCCCTTTCACTTGTTTACTGCCTGCCTCTGTCTGGAGGCCGGAGTCTGACCTCAGGTGTCAGCCAGGCTTCCTTCCCCTCCTCCTGGCCTCTGCCAGGCTCCCTCCCTCCCTTGCTGTCCCTGGCCTGTAGGCACATCACTCTGACCTCCAGGCACATCACTCTGACCTCCGTCAGACAGTCAGGTTCCTCTGTGTCTCTGCATGTCTGTTTTCCCTCCTTCCAAGGACAAGTCCCTGGATTAGGGCCCACTGAATCCAGTGTGGCCTTATCTCAAGACTTACTCAGTTACATTGCAAACAACATCCCATTCTGAGGTTCCAGGCGGGCGTGAATTTTGGGAGATGCTATTCAACTCTGGACAGGTGGGAATGGGGGCTATAGGGAGGCAGGCCACAGAGACAGGGGTTGGATGGTCCTCAGACTATTAGGGCCCATGGGCCCTTGATGCAGGGTGCTGGGGGTGGCTGAAGGAGAAGGTCCCCAGAGGAGTGGACGGGGCTGCACCCCTGAGGGACCCACTGCTGCCCCTTCATAGCTGAGGACACCAAGGCAAAAAGGGGCTGGACATGGCTGGGGAGGCCACAGAACCCAGACACAACCCAGTCTTGAGTCACCACTGAAGGTGGATGGGGTGAATGGAGGGCACAGCCCAAGAGGACCATAGTCCCAGCAGGGAGGAGGAAAGGCTGATGTCTGACTCCATTATACACCCAGGACTGTGGGACGCAGGCAGTGGCAAGGCCCAGCCACACTCTGGGTGTCTGCATCATGCAACCAGACACCACAGTCTCAGGAACAGCGCTCCTAGGCCCTCCCATCGCCAGTGCCCCACAAGGCCAGTTTCATGACCCACAATGTCCTTGGTGTTCAGAGCTGTCCCTTGCACTGGCTGTGGTCACATCTACAGGGTGCTGCCTGCTGCCCAACCAGGAGGACACAAAGGCCACACTGTCCCTCCCAAGCCCTTCACAAGGGGCAGGGGGGGCCTGTACAGCAGCTCCTGGCAGCTCTTGTTCAAAGCCAGGGGACTCTGAAGTGGTTTTCTGTAGTTCTCTCTCTGGGGTTTGTTTTGGTGGTTTGAGGGTGGTTTTCTGTAGTTCTCTCTCTGGGGTTTGTTTTGGTGGTTTGGGGGG